AACCTGTGCAGATGATATTATACTTTTGTCATCAACTGAAGAAGAAATGCAATCTATGCTAGATACATTTAAAAGATACTCAGACAAACATACATTCAAGATCCATCCAACCAAAAGCGTTACAATTAATAAATATAGTAACTCAAAAACAACGAAGAGTGAAGTTCAATTCAAACTCGATGATAAAAACATGCCATCATCTAATCAAGGTACACATCTGGGTATCATAAGAGCAATTAAGGACCAAAATAAAACAAACATCCAGGACAGAATTAGCTTAGCCAGAAGGACAGCCTATTCTCTTATGAACGTTGGAGTACATGGTACAAACGGATTAAACCCTAAAACTTCTTATATGATATACAGAGTATACGTTCTACCAAGGCTACTTTACAGCCTGAAAGTTCTGCCACTAAATAATGGAGACATTAAGTTGCTAAGAGATTTCCACGTGAATTTTTGAGACAAATACAAGCTCTTCCCTCACGGACAGCAATTTCAGCAGTATACTTACTCTTGGGTGCGCTCCCCATAGAGACAGAAATTCACAAAAGAGTTCTTAGCCTGTTCCACTCCATCTTTTCATCTAACAACGAGAATCTAACAAAGGCTCTAGAGAGGCAATATGTCCTGCAAACACATGAACTAACTTTCCTTAACAGAGTAGCAGATCTTTTATACATGTATAATCTTCCTCCATGGACTTATCTGAAAGATCAATTGCCATCAAAGTTATCATGGAAATGCAAGGCAAGAGAAGCAATAAACAACTACTGGAAAGTGAATCTTCAAAGGGACGCCAATAGCAAAACAACACTAAAATTTCTCTGTATCCCTAATTTAGACATTGGAAACCCTCATACTATCTGGAATAGTCTACCACCAAATTTTGGCGAACTCAGGAAAGCAACAATAAAAGCAAGGCTATGCACAGGGACATATATATTTCAATCACAGAAAGCTCGTTTCTCAAATATTAACCTTGATGCAACTTGCCCAATTTGTCAACTGGAAGAAGAAGATATCATCCATTTTCTCACTCGCTGTCCCGTTCTGGAAGGCATACGCAGAGAATCTCTAAGTGTTATCAAAAGAATTACCATCAGTAAAATTGGGCTAGGAAACTGGAATTCCAACTTTCATGAGAGAACTTGTATTGCCCAACTTATTTTGGATTGTCAGCAACTGGCTCTAAACAATATTCTCCCTCATGATGACCTTTTTCTTAATTCAATAGAAGAATTAAGCAGGAACTTATGTTATAGACTCCATCTAAAAAGAGTGTCTTCTCTTAATGTCTAGTTGTCATAAGGTCAGTGTGGTTGTACCGCGCTATACCTTAAACAACTATCTTCAACTTCATAAAATAAAATATGGCTTTTTTCTCCAATCTAAGGAATAATCATTTATGATTCTTCGACAGTACAACGTACTAGGTCAGTGTGGGTGTTCCGCGCTAAACCTAACATCAATCTTTTACACAGAATTAAATGCTGCGAAAATCTAAACGTTTAAATCTTCATTAGGTTAATATGGCTGTTCCGCGCTATACCTTCAATTGCTTTCTTTTACTCCGTAAAATGAAACAACGTTTATCTTTAATCTAAAGTCATCATAAAGGTTTTTGGACAGAACAACTAGGTCAGTGTGGGTGTTCCGCGTTAAACCTATCAATCATTTACGTAAAATTAAATGCTGAGAAAATCCATGAAATTTTAGAATAACTGGTCAGTGTGGTTGTGCCGCGCTATACCTATAGTTGGAATAAATGTACATGTTTACCGTTAGCTTTAATACCCAGTAGCTTCACGTATATATATATAACAGATAGATAATGGCTATGCGTAATTAGATCGCTTAGGACATATAAGCTTATATGCATGATTTTATTGATTTTATATCGCCTAGTAGTGCTCATAGACAGATGCAGTAACTCCAGCATGTAGCAGGCAGGAAGCTGAAAACTCGTTATTTTTTTTACCTTTAGGTAACATTGTTTAGTGAATGTAAAGATTTTTTACAATAATGCATGCCCTGTAAATAATATTCAAAACTTTTTTATTTTTTAAAATCTTATTAATAACTTTTAAACTGTGACCCATTTTTAATGTACATAGAAGTTATTATTAGTATCTTTGCAGGGATTTAACTGTACATAATGTTATTTTTAAATAGTTAGGTATTCACTTAAAAACTGATTTCATAAGGATTAACCAACCTTAAATCAGTAAGGTTGGTGTACTCCAACTATTGGAGGAAGATATAGAGGAAAGAAGAAGACATAGTCTTTCATTCTGGCTATTTTTCTACGTTTCTCAATGAAAGCCAACAAAAATGTAAACTGAAATGTTCTCTGTACAAAATGGTGATTAATTTGCCTTAACCATGTATCTACGCTCTTATCTTCACTTTGTGTTAACAAATCTATCATCATAGGAATGTCAGCCATGTTAAGTAATGAAACCATGCGTTCACCGAAATTAAGGAAACCATGGTGTAGTTACAAACTGTTTTTTCTAAACCGTAAACTGGTTTTCTAAACCCTAAACCCTAAACCCGAACCCAAACCGGTTTGACTTTCAATAAATTCGCTCGAAACAAATCAAAAGTTTTGATATTGGTTTGCTAAACTTATCAAATCAAACGGAGATGGTTGGTCAGTTTCGGATTTTGGTTTTCAAGAAACAAATTTGAAACCGGTTTAAAACTAGCTCAAAAACCTGTTTGAAAGAAGAAACAGAACCTTTATCAAACCTATCGTAAACCGAAACCAATTTAGAGGCAACAAATATGCTCAAAACTCGTCATAACTTATTGATAAAAATATTTGAAAAATTATTAGATAAACATAAATCGCCATATAATAAAAAATAAGTCATCAATAGAAAGTATATTTTTTATCGCAACGATACATTCACCATCACACATTTTCTGTGATGTTAAATTAATTGTTGCTACTTTGCTTCTCAACTTGAAAAAAAACACGAGTCTGTATACAAATCACTGGATAAACTTGTCGAGGTCGTGTTTTTTGTTGTTCTAGGTCAAATATTCTCGTATCGAATTGTTGCATCCCTTTTCGCACATTGTCTGTCTGTCTTGGTTTCAAATATATATTTGTCGTAATTTCCAAATAATGGGAAATGATTCATGTGCCATTTTCTCCAAAATGTTTTAAAAGTAAAATAACAAAAATACCGAACTCCGAGGAAAATTCAAAACGGAAAGTCCGTAATCAAATGGCAAAATCAAAATCAAAAGCTCAAACACATCAAACGAATGGACAGCTTGTAGGACAAAAGCCCAACGTTTTCTGAAATTCTCCGATTCGTTCCAATTAATGTTTCAATATAGAATAAGATTATTTGGGCACAAATATGCTCCTTCGTTTGAATCAGTTGTTGATGTTCCTATAAGTCGGTCATTCAAAATGTTGGCTACTTCAAATGATATTTTTGTAGTTTGAATGTCTGATTGTTGACTTCTAAAATCGAGAATTAAACCGGTTCTGTTCCTAGAAGCTTCCAATCATGCAGTCAGCTAATCGTTTACCAAGAACTAAAATGCCTTAACCATGTTAACGCAGTGATATTAAGGCACTTTACCAATAAAAATGCGTTAAAATGCATGTTATATAGAAGTACAAATCATAAGAAAATGGCAACAAAATCAGGAAAACAGAGATCGTAGATCAAATATAAAGACCTATATTTAATCTTGCATGGGTTTTTCATATCGAAAGTGAAAGTAGTCAAGTGACCCGAGTCGCCAATGAAGGTCGTACATTACATTTTCAACTCAAAAGTCCAGCGTGTTAAAGGAATCTTTGAATGTGAAAAAAAGTATCAATACATTCGTTTCATAATAGGAAGATGTGGTATGAGTGCCAATGAGACAACCTTCCATCCAAGTAAAAATTTATAAAAGTAAACCATTATAGGTCAAGGTACGACCTTCAACACGGAGCATTGGCTCACACCGAACAGCAAGCTATATAGGGTAGCATGTTTGTTAGGCCGTTAGAGTTCTCGTTTGAATCATTTTACATTTGTCATCATGTTTCGGAGCCTTTTATAGCTTAATATGTGATATGGGTTTTGCTCATAGTTGAAGGCCGTACGATGACCTAAATTTGGTAATCTATGCGTCATTTAGTCTCTGATAGTCTCGAGAGTTCTCTCCTTTGGAATAATCCCATCATCATAAATGTGTATTATATGTAGTTTCAGACTTTGAAAGAAACTGAACAAATAAATAATATGATACCATCTGATTTAAAAAGTCATTTATAATCAATTACAAATCATTAAAGAAAGAACAAAACCGCTTATGTGGTTTTAACCAATTTCTTAATTTTTTTAGACTATATTTTTCTTCCAAAATTCATGTGCACGCCCGGGCGTTTTGACGTAAACGCTACGCGTTATGAAACAAATCATATCATTACTCTTATAGTTATATAAGATAACACTAACAATATTTGAGGTCATATAATCGTTTAAAAACATTTCTCTATAACTCTTTTCAATTATATTCAATATAATGTTACTGTCGTCTAATATTTCTTTCGTGTAATGCTCCATTTTGAAGGGTTTGAAGAGTTTACTCAACTTGTAAGTTAATCAGTGGCGGATCCAGAAATTTTCATAAGTGGGGGTCCACTGACTGCCTAAGAGAGGGCCCCTCCAGTCATGCTTCAGTGATTCCCTATATAATCAACAAATTTTTTCCCCAAAAAGGGGGGCCCGTGGCCCCCTGCCCCCCCCCCCCCCCCCCCCCCCCCCCCCCCCCCCAAAAAAAAAAAATCGCCTCTGTTAATGTTCGATTAAACTGTCTAGTGCGCTTGCACAGTTTTATTTGTTAGTTTTACCCGAGTAACCCGAATTAATCAGTTAATCAAATCGACTGCAATCGGCAATCCTCTGGTGAATCCGCTACGCGCATTCTGTCCTCTCGGCCGATTCCGTTCCTCCATCTAGATAGAAGGAGAGTAGCGGATTCAACCGAGGATTGCCGATTGCAGTGACTGCACCAGAACAGACCGTAATTAACTTCCTTGTTAAATAATTTTCAAACTTCCTGATAAATTTTGGCTCAAATCAAGAAAACCTTTATTCTGTGAACTTTAAAAGAAGCAAGGTATGTTAGATAGATACTTAATTCTCTAAATACTAGAGACACTAACAAATAATTATATATCAGTCAAATACAATAAAGTTGATGACGGTAAGCCACCAACCACACATAGATGTCTGTGCTTGAAAAAATCTCATCTAAAATTAGGAAAATACCACTCTCGCACGTACTATACCACAGGGGTTAAAAAAATAGACAGGTGCGGACCAAGGATTTTAAAAAGGAGGGCCCCAAACTAGACAACGTTTGGAGTGTGGAGTGGACATGGTGGAATAGGTTACAAAGTAGGGATCTCCTGTAGTTGGTGATTGCAATACTGGTGTACCAGTATTGTGCACAATACTGGTATAAAAATTATGTACCAGTATTGTAACTTTTTTTTTTTAAAACAACAATACTGGTACATTACTGATATACCAGTATTGTAGTTGTATTGTCGACAATTCTTTAAGGTGTATAAAAAAAAAAAAAAAAAAATTAAGCAAAATTAGATATTGAACTTGAAGATCAAAGGGGGATTAAATGAACTCAATAAGATTAAAGAGGATAATTGTGAAATTAATCAACAATCAGTTAAAAATATCATGATATTCATAAAGCCCTATTTCAAATCAAACAGATACATGTTATACAAATAAACAAAAGATTATTGTAATTCACTCATATTATTCAAACAATTGTAAATTATATAAAATAATTGCTATTCTTTTTTATCTATAATTCAATTTAGATAAAATAAAATAAAAGCTTATTATTTTCAATATCTGAGTTATTATTAAATAAATTCAAGCAAATTATTACATACTTACATGTCTAACACTGTAAATTCAGCATTTACATGTATGCCATCATATATTTTTTACAAATATTTTAATACATGTTTACTAAGATGATAAGCATTTGTTGGTCTTTATTTTCTAATTAATCTTTCACAATAAAAGATATCAAAATCCATTAAACATAAAAAAATAGTAACTTATTAGGGGAACCTGATTGTAATCAAATTATCTACATGAATGTTAAGGGTAATTAAAGCAGATGATTCAGAAACATGGGCAACACAATTTGTAGCAGATATATCAACTGGTACAAATACTAGTACTTGTAGACAAGCACTCCAACACCTACAAGCAGAAATAGACAATACCAATGCTGATGATACAGCAGCTATAAAAGCAATGTCTGATAATAAAAAATAATACTAAAATATACATGTACCATGAGCCTTAGAAAGCAAGAGCTGATAGAAAAGATAGAGGAAAATAAAAAGTTTGTTGAAATGCTGGGACAGTATAGTTCCCTTAAGAAGAAAAAAACATCTGACAGAAGATTTAAAACTTTCTTTGATGACAAGCGCAGTGTACCATCATTCATGTCATTTAAACGTATAATCTGACAATTCTGTATGTTCAATCATTCCTTATAAAATTGTCATGCCATATGTTAATTTCATTATGTATATATATGTGACACCTTTAATAACAGATTAATCATGTTAATTACCTATATGTATTGTTTATTTAAAAAAAACACAATACTGGTACAATACTGGAATACAATACTGGTACAAAATTTTTTACCAGTATTGCGATCACCAACTACAGGAGATCCCAAAGTAGTCCAAATAATAAGCCTTCATAGACTTAAAAAAGGCATTTGATACCGTATGGCGACTAGGTTTATTTTCTAAACTCATAAAACATAATATCCCCAAAAAAATGTTTAATGTTATTTATTCAATGTATACTGATACAGTATGTAGAATAAAATTCTCTAATGGGCTGAGTCCTCCATTCCTATCAGAAAACAAGGTGACATATGAATAGCTGAGTCCCCTTCTTTTTAACTTTTTTATAAATGAACTAGTAGGTAATCTTGATAACAAACATACGGATCAAGTTGCCATTGGGGATACCTCTTTGAACATTCTTTTATATGCAGACGATATTGTTTTACTATCTGAAAGCAAAGAGGGTCTACAAAAATCTCTTGATATTTTACATGAATATTGTTCATCATGGAAACTACAAGTTAATACTGATAAATCAAAAATTATGATATTTAATTCTAATGGCAAGACATTGTTAAACCATTTTACCTATGATAATGCATATCTTGAAACAGTTACAAATTATTGTTACTTGTGTATTGTTTTAAAGTATAATGGCAATTTTTGCCTTGCTGTGAATACTCTAATGGAAAAAGCCAGGAAGGCATACTATAAGATAAAGAAAACTATAGGTCTCAACAACCCATGTAGACTTCTTGAAAAATTGTTTGATTGTTTAGTTACTCCCATTCTTACATATTGTAGTGAAATTTGGGGGATGGATTCACATTTTAAGGACTCTGATCTCTTTGAAAAACTTCATGTTAAATTTATCAAAGATATATTAGGGGTTCACTGTAAGGCATCTAATGATGGATGTGGAGCCGAACTTAATAGAATTCCCTTGAAAAATAAAATATTATATTCAATATTCAACTACCTGAACCATATAGTTTCTTCGGAAAATTCTTTGGCATATGATATATTCACTAAATCTGTAGATTCAAACCCTTGGGTCATAAAGGTCAAGAGTCTTTTGAATGGACGGAATGTCTTATATCATCAATAACTTTAATTATGTTAAAGGTAATTTAAATTCCCTTAAACAACAAAGAATTAATGACCAATGTTTGCAAGTTCAAAATGCAAATATATTTGAATAAAAAAAGTTAGACTTTTTCAAGAGTGTCTAGATAATGGGCAGAAGACCACCCTATGTTGATATATTGAAAAACAGAAGTGACAGAGCTGCAATATGTAAGATCCGTATAAGCGCTCATATACTGATGATTGAAAGAGGGAGACATCTAAATATTCCCAGAAATGAAAGATACTGCTCTGTATGTAATTCTGGTCAAATTGAAAATGAAAAACATTTTCTTTTACATTGTGAAAAATACTCAACTAAAAGAGCCATATTTTACCAAAAAGTTTCAAATATAATCGTTGATCCTACAAAATTTCAAAAAAATGAAAATAATGTAATCTTTTAATTAAATAATAATTCATACACAATCCTAAAATTGACTTCCTCTTTCATTTCAGACAGTCTGAACCTGCGTAAAGCAGAACAAACTCTATAAAATTGTCAATATGTCTAATTCATAATCATTGTTTATAATATTACATATTAATATAGTCATTATTTGCAATACTTATTATGTATGATCAACTATGTAATTAATATACCATGAGCCTTAACCATTTATTGTTGATGAGTTTGTGCTAATAAAATATTTGTATTTGTATTTAATAATTATGACATCTTGAAAGGCTATTATATTTTTTTCTTTGACGCCTTACGTCGCAGGAAGGCGTCAAAGCAAAAATTTAAAATAGCCTTCCAAGACGTCATAATTATTTGGACTAGTTACAAAGAGTCTGGATTAACCATAAATTAATAATCGGGGAGCTAAAAATGAAAAGTATCTGGATCTTAGAGTCATACAATTCAATTCAAAGTTTTATTTAAAGTCGATATTCAATAAACTACATAAACACAAGCTCTAGTGAGCTTTTCAAATCGTCTGAATAACAAAATTATATACACACATACAAAAGTCATGAAAACAACACAATTTTAAACATACAGTGCATAGTAAGATACCATAGATGACATATAAAAGTTAAAAGCATAGTATGCAAAATAAAGTATATCTTAAAACATAGCACGAGTTAAGAATTATAAGCACAAATCAAATAGTCACACAAAAAAAAAAAAAAAAAGCACAGGCCTAAAACACTATATGCATGCACTGCACTGGCATATGCTGTTATTTGGATCCCATGTTTGTACCAATTTTTTGAATTGGTCAAAAGATGTTTCCATTCGACAATGGTTCGGCAGCTCATTCCTGACCAGATTTGTGCAGCATTATAGCGAAACGATCTTAAACCATACCTGGTAGTTCTGACTCTGGAGCACTGCTGTTCCTGTGATCTTTGAAATCATACTTATTAATTTTGATATCAATTAAATCATGAAGATAGCTTGGACTTTTTTTGTGAATTATTTTAAAAGTTTCTGTGGCAATAGTTTTTATTCTTCTTATTTTTAAAGAAGGTAGTTTTGACTTTTCTAGCAGTTTTTTTGTATGAACATGATGAACTATCATAATCTTCATAGATGAATCTAAGAGCTCTTTCTTGAATTTTTTCTTTTTTAAAAGAATTTTTTTGGCTACAGTAGTGCCAAATTACTGGACAATAGTTAAAATTCGAAAGAATGAATGAGTAGTATGCTGTTAACCTAACAAGCCTGTTTGAATATTTACCCATTCGTTTTAGAATATTTAATTGTCTTGATGCCTTTTTACATATTTCAGGTATATGAGTGTTAAAGTTTAAGTCCGAATCTATAGTTATTCCAAGAAGTTTAACATTTTCTTCACGAGAAATTTTGTTTCCATTTAAATTAATTATCAAATTATGTTTATTTGTTTTTTCCCAACATTTGGCTATAGCCTGGAATTTGTCAGGATTAGCCTTCATTAAATTTATAGAAAACCAATATTAGATTTAAACTATCAGTTTCTAAACTTTCAACAACTTTATCTATATCATGATCACTATATGATACAGTGTTATCATGAGCATAATTATAAATGGTGCTATTTTGTACAAAATGAAATATGTCATTTATGAAGACATTGAAAACAACTGGATCAAGAATTGACCCTTGTGGTACATCTTTAAACTTACGATCCCATTCACTGTAAGAACTTCCAACTTTAATAAGTTGTTTTCTGTTTTCTAAATAACTTTGAAATAATTTTAGAGAATTTTTAGACCATATGCTTCCAATTTTAGTAAAAGTAAACCGTGCGGTAAACAATCAAATGCTTTAGATAGATCCATCAAAATTGTAGCAATAAATTTGTTGTCGTCCAGAGCTTTTTTCCAGTCTTCTATTATTTTATTAAGTGCTGTTTGGCAACCAAAACCTGACCTAAATGCTGAAAGAAGAGGATGAAAATGTTTATTTAAGAATTCCATTAGTCATGTTAGTTGATCATCAACATGATCATGTATAGCGCTTTCATAAATTTTGGAAATACATGGTAACACACTTACCGGTCTATAGTTTTCTTCATTTAGAGTTATTCTTTTTAAAAAGTGGGGATACCTGAGCTGCTTTAAGATTATTTGGAAAAATTGAACTTTCAATTGATTTATTAACTAAAATTTTAATAGGATATGATATTACTGGTTGTGCCCTTTTTATAATTTTTGGTGAAATATTGTCATATCCAGCTTTTCTTATATTTAAACTATTTATTTGTTTACTCACAAACTCTTCTGTTACAGGTTTAAAATTCAACTCATTATGATCAGTTTTATTTTCTTCGATTTTTATTATACTTGGGTGATTTTTGTCTATTTTAATGTTTTTGTCTCCTATATCTTTAGCTCAATTATGAAAAATTTATTCACTGAGAATTTTATCATTTTCATATAAAATTATTTATTGTTTGATTTAATGCTTTTAATTGCCAGAGTCTAAAAAATAGTTCTTGGAAATTCTTGATCCACTTTTGAAATTTATTGAAAGACAAGTTTCTCACTTCTCTTCTAGGTCATTTAATTGGTCTCTGGTGGAAAGTTGTCTAATTGGCAACTCAAAGTTTACCAGAACTAAAAAACTGTGAAAGTAAAAATTATGTATGTTATTAAAAAAAAAAATATTAATGAATTAACACAATTGATAAATTTATTTTGATGACAAATCTCTGACCTGAATGGATTACTTTCTAGCTGACCTGGCCAGAAGTGCCTTGTGACCTTTTGCCATCTCTCTTGTCTGTAGTCAGTCCGCCTGTCGTCTGTCTTCCATCATCCTTAAACTTTTCTTTAAAAATCTCCTGCTCTTAAACTGCTCATTGGAATGAAACCAAAGTGAGTCTGCTTCATCTATAGGATGCATACTATAAAGTTTGTGATTTTTGTTCAGGTTGATCAACCAACAAAATTGGCCACCATTTCCAGTATAGAACATAGTGGTTAAACTACAGTTTTGGCTAATATCTCTAAAATTGATACAATTAGCATGATAAGAGAAAACTGATAAGTTAAAAATGGTCTGTTCAATAAGTTTTCAGCAAGTTCTCTCTGCCTAGAAAATTTTGGAAAAAAACTGTCAACCTTTTTAAGAGTTATTGACCCTTAATTGTTTATTTTTATTTATTTTTTATCTTGTCTGTGACGAAAGTTGAGAAAGGCGAGACATAGGTATGATATTTCTTTTCCAGTGACAAAGACATTGTTAAATTTTCTGCTGAAGTTAGATTGATAAGAACTACTTGTGATAGATCAATTATATTTTGTATGAAGTTGCATTACCGGTACTATCAGTACATATCAGTTTAACAACTATTTTGAGGCCCTACCCCCTAGGACACCCTCCAGTGATCACTTTCATTTAATTAGCAATTTTCAATGTTACGTTTTCTGTTTAAGTCAGTTTGATAGAAACTACATGTACTTGTGATAGATCAATGATAATTTCTATAAAGCTGCATTACTTTCAGCACATATCAGTTTGAAGACTGTTTTATTAAGGCCCTATCCCCTAGGTCATGGTCCAGTGACTTTCAATTAATTAGCAATTATCAATGTTTAGTTTTCTGCTTAAGTTAGTTTATTAAGAACTACTTATACAATCATGACAATAGACAACAAAATGTTCTATAAAGGTACATTACTGTCTACATCTTAGTGTGTTGTCCTTTTGATGCCCTGTTCATTAGTTCATTGTCCAGCAACTTTGAAGTAATTAGCAATGTTGCTGTCCATTAGATTGTCTTTTTCTGAATTTTAAGCTAACAGGCGAGACATATATCTCTGTGTCAACAGTTTTTCTTGGGTATTTCCTTGCCATTGTTTCAAAAATTATACATGTATAAGCTAGGTTTAAAGTGTTATTGCAAAAATGATCATGATGACAAGATGTATCCACCCTGAAAATTGAAGAAAAATCTCTATTTGTTTTGGAGTTATTGTCCCTGAAAACTTAAGGAGCTAGATAAAAATTGCAAATTGTATAAAAGTTCAACACAAGATTTATTTTCCCTAAAAAATACAGAAAAATCTGTTGATCTAGCTGTTGTGGAGTTATTGCCCTTGAAATAACATTTTTTTTGGCATTTTTTTGGCTATTATCGTGAAAAATGTAGGAGCTAGTTTAAAAGTCTAAATTGCAAAAAGGTTCAACATGAAATTTCTGAAAATTAAAGAAAAGTCTGTCAACTTGTTTGGAGTTATTTCCCATGAAAACAAATTTTTTTGCAGTTTTTGGCTGTTATCCTGAAAAATATAGCAGCTAATTTTGAAAATGATATCACGCGACAAGATCTATTTACCTTAAAGATTTCAGAAAAATCTGTAGACCTGGTTTTTTTGTGTTATTGCCCCTGAAATGTAATATTTTCCAATTTTTACATTTTTCAGCTGTTAAATATTTTTAAAAAATGAGCTAGCTCAAAACTGAAAAGTGCAAACTGCAAAAATGATCAACATGATAAGATCTATCTACTCTGATATTTTTGACAATCTTCCCCTGAAATATTGATTTTTGGTGTCCAAAACTGGCTTATAGTATACATATATGTTGATGTAGTTTAAAAGGGCAGTTGGCCATGGGGAAAAGTGGCTTTTTTAATTTGTGTTCTGTATAGGGCATTCTCCATTGTTTATATAAGAAACATTATGTGCAACCCTGCCATTTGAGTCTTTGATCTATTTTAAAACAATGAAAGACTCAACTAAAATGATAATTAAGTGAACATTTGAAAATTTGAGAACCTTAAATTATTTATGTGTTGTTATATCCAGAATTACTGTTAAGGAAAAGTTTAATTAACTAAAATGTAATGGGATCACATGGGAAATATAAAAAAAAAACTATTATGGCTGCAACAATTCACTTATTTTTCATGTGGTCCATATGCTCTGTGTTGATTGTTTATCAATGTCAGGGTCAGGCAACAAACTCAAAAATTAGCTTGTGATCAATGATCACTGAGTGAAATATTATTTGTTGATAATATGTTATAGATAATCATAATAAATGTAAAAAATGTGTGTAAAGGACTTAGTTTTAGGTTATGTGCATGCATTGGTTTAAGAAACTTAAATTTGGGTTAATGTCTTGAGCAGCGAGCAACATGTGTGTAACTTAAAATATTAAAAGTTGATAAAATGTTTGGATTTTTCAGCAGAAATGTGCACCAACCAATGGAGAACAATTGAGATGGTTATTTTACAGTAGTTATAAATATCAATGAAGGAAGGTAAGACTATTTTTATAACAAAGTTTAAATGGCAGCTTACTATCTTAAAATTGTCATCTATTGTTATATATTTATAATTTAATTTTGGATGTAACGCGTCTTCTGATTGGCTGACATTGTTTTGTTTATCAGCTCATAGACATAATTTTGTCATGTGACCGGACGTCATCAACGTTTTTTCATGGTTTACTCCAGTTTAAAATGGCATTTAGAATTAAATTATAAGAAATGACTAATATTTTTTCTGTCTATTCGAAATAACATAAAAAATGTGGTGCACACTTTAAAATAACCCGCTACGCGGGTTATTCAGTGTGCACCACATTTTTGATGTTATCGCTTCATTCCTTAAATAGAATAACTAATCGAAGAATTCAAATATAGAAAAATATTCAACGAGTGACCGAACAACACATTAATTCGCAAATGTGCGTAGCGCCTGAGTTAATTATCAGTGTTGTTCGGTCACGAGTTGAATATTTTTTGATATTTTAATTCTTTGATTAGTTATTCTTTTTATTATGTTGACAATAGGCTTTTTAATAATATTAAAGTAGAAAATGTAAGGAACTATATCTTTTTTACGCATTCACCATTTGCTTTGATGCGATGTTATTGACAACGTCTTGACAACACCTATTGTTTTATGACGTCAGAGGAGTGAAATAACTGAATTTATTTCACATGTGAAATTATCGGTTTTTAATTCACTGGGAAATCACGGCAATTCATTGCAACCAATGTAATAGATAGTAATAAGATTTGGTATTGACTGCCAGTAAGACAACTATCAACTAAAGTTCAAATGACTTGGATTTTAGCAACTATAGATTGCCAAATATGGCAACAAACAATGAGCATAACCCATGCAGTAAATTGAGTCAGCTATAAAGGGCCTGGTTTTGACAAAAGGTGAAAAGGTTCAAACCAGAAACATCAGGTTGGCATGAAGCACAAAAAAACCTTAACTTAAAGACAAAAGACACAAAGTACCAATGTAAGAGAACATACAGTTACTGAAAGCTAGTTCAAAGCCAATGACAACTAATGAATCAATCATGTTTTTCCAAACAAAAGTAAAAAAAAAAACAAACAAAAGTAATCCACGTCTGGTCAGAATGGGGACGTTAAATCCGATGCCTTGTGTAAAGAGAGTGCCACGCTCTTTGCACATTAAGAACCCTTGCAACAACTCTTTGAGGGGTCCGTAGGTGACATGTTACAAGGCTAAATTTCTGTCCCTATCCAAATATACCCTCATTTCCCGTGGCAGTCTAAATTTCTCCAACCTTAATCCCGGAAGCCCCTATTACAGAACCTACCTATTGTATATATTGTTAATTTGTTCTCGTCCTGAATATGCATGAAATATTTGCCACTGGACGTTAAGCAACCAACAATCAATCAATCCAAACAAAAGTATCAATCAGTTTATACACATCCAACAGATTTAGTGTTAAGATGTCAAAAATTTGACAGTCTGAGAAAGGCATGACCTGGCCCGAGAACACAGTTATTTTGTAATGCATTTCTTTTAGACAATAAATTCAAATTAAAAAAAGTCTACCGGCTCTAACTCTAAATATGGACAATTCTATGTTCAGGGGGTCTAAAATTCAGTTTGACAGCTTCAGACATACTAATTTTTTACCTTTTTTAACTGGACCTAATCACTACTTAACATAAAAATTCAGCACCCAAATTTTATAAACATGTAATTTCATCCCCTTACTTAATATTTCATGCATAAAATATCAAGAAATAAATTGGAAAAGTGTATGAAAAAAATTTGAAAGTTATACACTGTTCACACAAGGGACTATATTTGTAGACATAAAGAAAACCAAAAGGACAATAACTGTGTCCTCGGACCACCTTGTGCAATGCCAATATATCGGTTCATAATATTGATATTATGAAGGACCATACGTTTTCATCACTACAGCAATTCAATTTTAGTCATCTTTTAATATTATTATTAGTCAAGAACAATATCAATGTTTGTACCAATAAAACAATATTCAAAGATCTTATTACAATATTAGATTCATATTCTTTAAGAATAAGTTTAATTGAAGGATCAATAAGTTTACATGGATCTAAATTTATTACTGTAAAAAAACTCATCATACTTAGACATGTAAGATACCAGGATTAACATGATTAATGTGCAGGGCTGCCAAGTCTCATGCATTTAGCCTGAGACTCACGCATTTTCATGCTTATTTGGGGGCATTTTCCTTTGATCTATTGTTTTTTCTCTTTGATCTTTACGATTTTGGCCAAATCTCACGCTTTTGCATTATTAAAAGTTGGCAGAACTGAATGTGGTGTGCATCAGACACACAACTTTTTCAACAAAAGAATCATCAGTGACGGTCGAAATCAAAAAGTTAAAAAGGCCAAATGAAGTGTAAAGTTGAAGAGCATTGATGACCCAAATAAGGATGTGATATCCTGTTAAAGTCATAAGAATACTACAGGTACTGCAAAACTTCCAAACCAAATCTATTGTGAAATCTTATTTATGAATTTAGTAAAACTTTTAAGTAATTTAAGGTAACAAAATGCATGAATTAATAATTTATCAGTTATACATAGGTTACAGTCATTTGCATCTGAAATGTCATTACAGAAATGGACATGAATCTTTCAAAGATTTTAATTATTGAATAATTTGTAACATGTTAAATGATAACTTTTATGGGCTTCTATCTTTTGAAGAATATATCTAAATAACTTAATTGGAAACAAATTATTTTGTGGTTAATTACAGGTGTATGTTGGAATGAAGTTTATGGTCATACATAGCCATACTGGAATTGAAGCATTGAGACATAAGTGAAGAAACCTTGAAATTCAAAGTGGTTTTATAATACACTTTAATTATGACATTTAATGTAAACATCTTGATAGTTTTGTATTGATTACCAAAAGATCACCTGGCAAGATATTTTCATTTTTACCAGGATAAATTACACATTCCTGAAAACTGCAAAAATATATTTACAATTTATATTTTTGGAAGCAAGAATTTTTATGGAATACATTTGAAATCATGAAATCACGTAGATAAAAGGTTTTTCTTTTTTTGCAGACACTAATATGAGAAACAACCTATATCTGTATATTGGAAGTAAGTAATTTAAAAAAAATATTTTCTTAAAAGTTTGCCTGACTTTAGACATGTTAGAAGCTTATCTTTTTGTTCATCAGGAAGCATTCCCTTTCAAATGAAAATGAGAACGGTTCGTAATATAGTTACATCATCAATAAATACAGCTATCTTTACCAGGACCTCAATAAATGATAGCAAAAGAATTATTGTCCAATGTCTGGTAAGCTTTGATGGAAGCTAATACTTTTATTGACATACAGATACTAGTGTTGTCAACGGTTAATCGGTTAGGACCCGAAGGACCTAATATCGAATACCAGAAATGCTAACCTGTTAACCGGACCTTTTTTTCAATTTTAATAGATTTGATATAAATGTGTATTGTTGAATTTTAAAATCATCATCGTGCTACTTTAAATTTAACAGATCAATTGTCCAGTACTTTGATTACTATTGTTAACCTCGAAAACATTCCAATTTTACAAAATTAATTAGCACAAAGAAAACTTGTCTATCAGCTCGGGGCAAGATCTTAAGTAAACATAATTAGCATATATGCATTTTGAACAGTTATAAGCTGATTTAATATTACGATTTACTTCAAAATTTCACTTCGATTTATTATAGGTAATATTGCGTAAACCTACATGTAAATATAACATTTCCATTGTCCTAGGCTTTCTCATACTTTAAACTGAATGCCGATTCAAAAATGGAATTAATGTATATATATACTGGGTGGTACTAGTAACAAGCTTAATAATCTCAAATTGAAACACTCCACAGAATTTTCAGAGACACCAGAATAAATGAAACAATCCTCGGTTTCAGATCTAGACTATTTTATAGTGTGCCTTTCTATGTTGTGATGTTACACTATTGTTTCAGAAAAAGGGTGAAGGTTTGGTACCATTAAAACATTTAAACCCGCTGCATTTGTTTGCACCTGTCTTAAGTCAGGAATCTGATGTTCAGTAGTTGTCATTTGTTGATGTGGTTCATAAGTGTTTCTCCTTTCTCGTTTTTTATATAGATTAGACAGTTGGTTTTCCCGTTTGAATGGTTTTACACTAGTAATTTTTGGGGCCCTTTATAGCTTACTGTTCGGTGTGAGCCAAGGCTCCGTGTTGAAGACCGTACTTTGACCTATAATGGTTTACATTTATAAATTTTGACTTGGATGGAGAGTTGTCTCATTGGCACTCATACCACATCTTCTTTAATATCTATTTGTCAATTCGCCAAGATCAAGAAGATTTTAATTTTCTCTATCTGAAGTTAATACAAACGCAATAGTAGTCATATTATTATTGGATTTTTAAAAGAAAAACTTATCCGCTAAGCAAAGCCTTACAATACCCATAGATAAACTTCAATTCATCGTATCATAAAACCTTGCATTTGTAAAGTACTGAAGATAAGACCTTTACGCATCTCCTAAACTACCCGTTAATCGGTTTAAAAGATTATCTGAGTAACCGGTTAGGCAAAACTGTTCAATTTGACAACACTAATAGATACATTTGAGTAGGTTGTGACAAATCTGTTATTTTGTATTCCCATACTCAAAAAATAAGCAGATACCAAGTGTGCTAACAAAAATGTTAAGAAAAATAGACAAATTTATGGTCAAAGGACAAACTGGTATTAAAAAAACCCTCTACAAAAACTGAAGATAAAAAAACCATCTACAAAAAACTGAAGATAAAAAAAACCATCTACAAAAACTGAAGATAAAAAACTATCTACAAAAACGGAAGATTGAGCAACATGAACCCTACCCAAAAAAACAGAGTTCAGCTAAGAAATGTAAACAGTCCCTGCTCCTCTAAGGCATTGATATCCAAGTTCTGAGTTTAACCAGACATTTGGTCACTTCTGA